CCTTTGATCTTTGATTTTGGTATTTAAGTGGTTGCTAACCTATTCCGGTAAAGATCTACTATTTTTCTGATTTAGTCTACCTATTTTTCTCCTTGCTCCAAGCTTTGTATTCCCTTTCTCTTCTTTTTTTCAGGCCTGAGGGCCTTCTTGAGCATTTCTTGTAGTGGGGGTCTCGTGACCACGAACTACCTTAGCTTTTGTTTATCTGGAAATGTTGTTATTTCTCCATCATATTTGAAGGATATTTTTGCTGGATAGAGTATTCTTGGCTGAAAGTTTTTGTCTTTCAGTATTTTGAATATATCATCTCTCCTAGCCTGTAAAGTTTCTGTTGAGAAATCCGCTGAGAGCCTGCTGGGAGTTCCTTTGTACGTTATTTTTTGTTTTTGTCTAGCTGCCCTTAATATTGTTTCTTTGTCATTGTCTTTAGCCAGCCTTACCGCTATATGCCATGGAGTGGGCCTTTGCCTGTGGACATATTTAGGCAACCTATTGGCTTCACTTACTGGTATTTCCTTGTCCTTCCCCAGATCTGGGAAGTTCTGCGCTATTATTTCCTTGAATAGGCTCTCTGTTCCTCTTTTCCTCTCTTCTCCCTCAGGAATATGTATAATTCTTATGTTACATTTCCTAATTGAGTTGGATATTTCTTGGAGACTTGCTTCATTTGTTTTTAGTCTTAGTTGTCTCTCCTCCTCCATCTGGAGCATATCTGTATTCCTATCCTCTATAACGCTAATTCTTTCCTCCATATTGTCAGCTCTGTTCTTTAAAGATTCCGGATTCTCCTTTATCTCCTCTATTGTGTTCTTCATCTCCATCAGTACTGATTGGTTTTTCTTTATGATTTCATTCTCTTTTGTAAAGAAACTAATCTCGTTGAATTATTTATCTGTGTTTTCTTGTATTTCGTTGAGCTTTTTTATGATAGCTATTTTGAATTCTCTGTCATTTAGGTTATGGATTTCTGTGCCTTCAGGGTTGATTTCTGGTTGCTTGTCATTTTCCTTGTGGTCTGGCGATTTAATGTACCTTTACATCGTGGTTCCTGTATTCACTTTGTTTTTCCTCATCCTGGAAATATCTGGTTGCAGTTTCCACCTCTCCCCGCTTTCTCTGGGGGCCCCAGCACGTCCACTCTCAGATGTGCACAGTGTGGGTCTTTCTGATCTTCCTTTTTGCTGTGTAAGAGTCCCTTGTCACTCTGTGTCTGTCCCTTTTGTTGTATCTTATCAGGGGAAGAGTTTGCAAGAAAGCTCAGTTTGCCATGATACTGACGTCACTCGTCTTGAACTGCTATTTTAACTGACATCATTAAAGTGTTGCTCCTCTTTCCTTAAAGAGAAAACACATTGCTTTTCCTTTCTTGATTACTGAAAGTATTGAGGGTAGAAACTAGATTTAGATGAAAATGTTTAAACATCAATGCTAAGACAATACTATTAAAGATGCTGTTGTGACACACAAACAAAACAAAACCTATTACTCAAAACTCACAGAGATGAAGAATAAGACTTACAATTAAAAAAAATATGAAGGCCATATTTTCTAATTAGCAAGTAAAGTTGGTTGCAGATATACCAAAAGTTATCTAATCAGGTCATTGGAATATTACATTTGTCTTGGTATATGTGTATGTCTGTATAAATGTGTTGGATTGGATAGCTGTGTGTGTGTATGTATATATATGTATAAAATCAAATTTTACTCTCAGTTGTAGGGCCCCAAAATTAATTTGGAACATCTGGTTTGATAGATCTTAGAATATTAAATTGTGTACATATAGTAAGATTGGGTGAGTTTTAATTGTGTAGAGCTGGTAAAAAAGATTATTACCAGCTTGGAGATTGGAGTATGAGTAAAAGGCTTTGGGTACATTGGAATCAGTCTTTACCAGAAGAACAGGGGAAAGGTGGCACACCCCTTCCGCCCTAAAAAATAGCTACCACTCAGAGTAACCCTTTAAATGCTAAATTATGTATTATTTAGTTTATACTGTGTCTCTGGAAAAGGTTGTGAGAATAGTATAAATTATATGGTTGTATTATAAAGTGTTACTAATATGCTTCTGTTTTAAATTTTAACAGGATTGGGGAAAATGTTAGGGAATTCATTTGGTAAAGTAAATAGCTGCAAAGACCATTTTGGAAAGTCGATGCCAAATGTCCTAGAAGATAAAGTGCATGAAGCAGTTGTAGATATTTCTGAAGAGGATAGTTTTTCATTGTGTGTTTCTAAATATAAAACAAGAATTCTACAAAAAAAAAAAACTGGCAAGACTAGGAAAAATATTTTCAATGAAATAGAAACTGATGAATGTGAAAAAGTTAAAAAACAAATGAAAGAAAATAAACATTCATTTGTATATGAAATGGAACCAAATGACAGTAATCCATTAGATTCAAGTGTAACAAATCAGAAGCCCTTTGGGAATGGAAGTGACAAAATCTCCAAGGAAGTTGTACTATCTTCAGCCTCTGAGTGGTCTCAGCCAGCCCTCTCAGGTCTAAATGGCACCCAGATGGAGAAAATACCCCTACTGCATATTTCTTCTTGTGACCAAAATAATTCAGAAAAAGGCCTCATAGGCACAGAGAAAGAATGTACCAACTTTATTACTCTAGAAAATTCTTTGCCACGTATTTCAAATATACCAAAAACAGAGAAGATATTAAATGAGGAAACAATGGTAAATAAGAGAGATGAAGAGCACTGTCTTGAATCTCTTGAGGATTCCATTCTTGTGATAAAGCAAGCAATACCTGAAACTTCTCTAATAGCTTCTCCACTTCAAGGTATCAAAAAGTCTATATTCAGGATAAGAGAAACACCTGAAGAGATGTTCAGTGCAGTTTTCTCAAATAATATGACTGATCCAACCTTTAAAGAAAAACCTGAAGCCTCTGAAAGTGGATTGGAAATGAATACTATTTGCTCACAGAAAGAAGACTCTTTATGCACAAGTTCAGTTGATAATAGAAGCTGGCCAGCCTCTGTGAAACGTACTTCTGTAGCTTTGAAGAATGCAGGTTTAATATCCACTTTGAAAAAAAAAACAAAGAAGTTTATTTATGCTATAAATGATGAAATATCTTACCAAGGACTAAAAATGCAGACAGACCAAGAATCAGGACCAACTAACTATTCAGCCCAATTTGAAGCAAACGCTTTTGAAACACCACTTACATTTACAGATGCTCATTCAGGTACCATGTGTGTGTGTGAGTGTGAATAGTGCATATAGTTTTATGGATAGTAATAAGTTCTCTTATTTGCATGTGTGAATCTCTTTCTTTAATCTTGTTTAAAAAAATCTTTTACTGCCTGCTTTCCTACTGTAGTTTTTTTGGTTTTTTTAAACCTGTATATCTTGTACAGGTCTTCCTCAACTTATGATGGAGGTAACGTCCCAATGAACCCATCATAAGTTGAAAATATTGTTAAGTCGAAAATGCATTTAATATACCTAACCTACCGAACATCGTAGCTTAGCCTAGCCTACCTTAAATGTGCTCAGAATACTTATGTTAGCCTACAGTTGGGCAGAATCATTTAACACAAAGTGTGGTGTTATAAAGTGTAGAGTATTTCATGTAATTTATTGAATACCATTCTGAAAGTGAAAAACAGAATGTATGGATACAGAATGGTTATTCACCCTCGTGATCGTGTGGCTGACTGGGAGCTGCAGCTCGCTGCCGCCCGCCCAGTATCATGAGAAAGTATCATGCTACGTATCACTAGCCTGGGAAAAGATCAAAATTCAAAACTTGAAGTACGGTTTCTACTGAATGCAAATAGCTTTCGCACCATTGTAAAGTCAAAAAAATCATTAAGTCAAACCATTGTAAGTTGGGGACTGTCTGTATTCAATATCAGGCAATGTCTACATATAATTGTTTAGGGCTTTGATTACCAATGTTCAAACTCATTGGATCAGTTTGCATAATATATATATAATCATCACTCTTTGAGACAGCATGTGATTCATAAGCATCAAAAGCTTGGCTACCTAATTCCTACTTTAATTTTTAGTGTGTATTACAAGTCCTTCGTCACTTAACGATGCGGATACATTCTGAGAAATGTGTTATTAGACAAGTTTGTCTGTGTGTGAATATCATAGAGTATACCTACACAAACCTAGATGGTATAGATTACTACACCTTAGGCTATATGGTACTAATCTTATGGGACCACTGTCATATATGGGGTCCATTGTTGACCCAAATGTTGTTATGTGGCACATGACTGTATATGCAAACTGGACAATTCTGTAAATATGTTGTGCTATTTACTATGTATTTCCTTAAAGCAAAAAATAGGAAAAAAAAGCAATTGCTAGCTAAGTTTATTGTAAGCCAATAAAATAGGCTTACATAAATAAAATAAAACAATATTTTAGGACTAGTGAATGTTGTTATTGTTGTTACATAGTTTTCTTAAATATTTAGAGATTGCTTAGAGTTATTACTATATCTCTGGGTGTCCAGAGTGTGCACCATGAAATTCATTTTTTATTTGAACAATGATTCATTTATAAGTAGCTAAACTGTGTGTTAAAAAGATGGTTTTATCTCCCTATGAGAAGATTTTAGTGGGTGGTAATATCTCAGTGAATAATAGATTTGGTGGAACTGGAGTACAGAGGAACTTTTTGAGATTTGGGTTGATTTCCAGAGAAAAATGTTTGATGCTGAATATATCAGAGTTAAAACCAATGCAACAGCTAATATGTAGTAGTAGTCACTTATTAAATAGAGATTAATAATTTTGACTTGTTAATAGGAAATCAGAGGGTTGATAAAATTAACTGAACACAGCAGTTTAACTCATTTGCCTTGATAGTTGAGATGAGGTCATCTTTCAGGCCTTTCATTTGTAGAACCTATTTTTGAAAGTTTATTTTTTGTTTTTCTTCAATATGAAAGATTGAATTGGGCCGGCCCTGTGGCTTAGTGGTTAAGTGTGTGCGCTCCGTTGCTGGCGCCCCGGGTTTGATTCCGGGCGCGCACCGACGCACCGCTTCTCTGGCCACACTGAGGCCACGTCCCACATACAACTAGAAGGATGTGCAACTATGACATACAACTATCTACTGGGGCTTTGGGGGAAAAAATAAATAAAGAAAATTATTTAAAAAAAAAAAAATTGAATTAACTAAAAGAAATGGTTACTTTTCTTATTCCTTCCCTTTGCCTTACTTTTCTATCTCCTGTTACACCAATATTAGCAATGAATTTTTTCCAATTTTATTTTCTAATAAAATTACTCTGAATTTTACTTATGGTAGCTAGCTGTTTTCTTGAATTACATACTAATTCTGATTAAGTTGATACATATTACAAAAAAAATACTAGGTCCTATTTAGTTGGAAAATGTAACAACTTCAAAATAGAGAATATTTAGAATTCTTTCTATTTTAAGCCTGACATTCATTTCTTACGTTTCATGAAATTCTTGTTTTAGGTACTACCTTTATAATGTAGTGGAAAATATTTAGTGAATTGATTGTTAGTACTTTAATTTTATTTTGTCACTTTATGTCTTTACACTTAGGTTTACTGCATTCTTCTGTCAAAAAAAACTGTTTACAGAATGATTCTGAAGAACCAACTTTGTCTTTAACCAGCTCTTCTGGGACAGTTCTGAGAAAATGTTCCAATAAGGAAAACATTTCTTCCAGTAATAAAATAATATCTCAGGATCTTGATTATAAAGAAACAAAAATTAATAAAGAAAAACTGCAGTCACTTATAACCTCAGAAACTGATTATCTGTCATGCTTGCAAGAAAAACATTGTGAAGATGATTCAAAAAGCCAGAGAGTTTCAGATATAAAAGAAAAGGTCTTGCCTGCAGTCTGTCACCCTGCAATGCCACATTCAGAAGTGGAATATAGTGGTATTCACTTTCAATCCCGGGAAAGCCTTTTATATGACCATGATAATACTAGCATTTTACCTCCTAGCTCCAAGGATCCTCCGTCAAACCCAGTTGTGATTTCTAGAGGAAAAGTATCATATAAAATGTCAGAGAAACTAAAATGTAAGAATTGTGAAATTGGTTTTGAATTCACCAAAAATATTCCCTTGGAAAGGAATCAAGAAATATGTGTTTTAAATGAGAATTCTAAAAAAGCTGAGCTGTTGTCACCTGAAAAATACATAACAGTAGCATCACCTTCTGTGAAGGTACAATTCAACCAAAATACAAAAGTTACAATAATAAAAAAAAACCAAGAACAAACTACTTTAATTTCAGAAATAACTGTCAATCCAAATTCTGAAGAACTTTTCCCAGACAATGAGAATAATTTTGTTTTTCAAATACCTAAAGAAGGGAATATTCCTGTTTTAGAAAATATCAAGGAACTTCATGAGGCAGACCTCAGTTGTGTAAGAGAACCTATTCTCAAGAACTCTGCCATGGTAGTATATACAAACATAGATGACAAACAGGCAGCCGAAGTATCAATCACAAAAGATTTGGCTTCATTAAATACAGTCCATGATCTAACAGAGACAAACAGAAATAGTATAAAGCAGCAACTAAAAATGACTCTAGGTCAAGATTCAAAGTCAGACATCTTAGATATAGATATGAAATCAAACAGAAATAATGATTACATAGACAAATGGGCAGGACTCTCAGATCCAATTTCAAATCACAGTTTTGGACATGGCTTCAGAACAGCTTCTAATAAAGAGATAAAACTCTCTGAACACAACATTAAGAAAAGTAAAATGCTCTTTAAAGATATTGAAGAATATTATTCTACTAGCTTAGCTTGTGTTGAAATTAAGAAACTAAGCAAACCTCATGCACTTGGTTCACAGTCAATTGACATTGTATCTGGATATGAGCAGAATAGTACATTTGTTTCTGATAGTGAAAATAGTCACACAACTCCGATTTTATATTTAAAGCGAGATTTTAATTCAAACCATAATTTAACACCAAGCCAAAAGGCAGAAATTACAGAACTTTCTACTATGTTGGAAGAATCAGGAAGTCAGTTTGAATTTACACAGTTCAGAAAACCAAGCCACGTAATAGGGAATAATCCATTTGAAATGCCTGATAACCAGATGACTGTCTTGAATACCATGTCTGAGGAATGGAAAGATGTTGATCATCCCATAATTAATACCCCATCTATTAGTCGAGTAGATAGCAGCAAGAAACTTGAAGATATAGTTAGAGGTAAGCAAAAGTTTGCTTGCTTGTTGAAAACCAACTATAAGAAAAGTGCTTCTCGTTATTTAACAGATAAAAATGAAGTGGAGTTTAGAGGCTTTTATTCTGCTCGTGGCACAAAACTGAATGTTTCTAGTGAAGCACTGCAAAAAGCTATGAAACTGTTCAGTGACATTGAGAATATTAGTGAGGAAACTGCAGAAGTTGATCCAAGAAGTTTCTCTTTAAGTAAATGTAATGACTCTGTTGTTTCAATGTTTAAGATAGAAAATTATAACAATGATAAAAATGTAAATGAGAAAAATAATAAATGCCAACCAACGCTACAAAATAATATTGAAAGGAGCACTGGTGTTTTTGTTGAAGAAAATACTGAAGATTACAAAAGAAATCCAGAAAATGAAGATAACAAATGTACTGATACCAGTAGAAATATTTGTAACTTAGGAGAATCTGATGGCGATGAGTCAAGTAGAAATGATACAGTTTATATTCATAAAGATGAAAATGGCTTGCCATGTATTGATCAGCATGACATACATCTAAAATTATCTAGCCAGTTTATGAAGGAGGGAAGCACTAAAATTAAAGAAGGTTTGTCAGATTTAACTTGTTTGGAAGCTGTGAAAGCTGAAGAAACATTTCATGTTAATATGTCAAAAAAAGAACAGTTACCTGCTAATAACATAGGGCAAAATATAAAAGATTTTGATGTTTTTGATTTATCCTTTCAGACTGCAAGTGGGAAAAATATCACAGTCTCCAAAGAGTCATTAAATAAAGTTGTAAATTTGTTTGATCAAAAATGTACAGAAGAATTGAATAACTTTTCAGACTCCTTGAATTCTGAATTACCTTCTGGTGTAAATATCAACAAAATAGACATTTCAAGTCATGAAGAAACAGATAAGGTTAAAGACAAAATATTGAAAGAAAGTGACCCAGTTGGTCTTGAAAATCAATTACTGACTCTCCAGCAAAGACCAGTATGTGAAGTCAAAAAGATAAAAGAACTTACTATGTTGGATTTTCATACAGCCAGTGGGAAAAAAGTAAAAATTGTAAAGGAATCTTTGGACAAAGTGAAAAATCTTTTTGATGAACAAAAACAAGATGATAATAATGAAATCACTAATTTTAGCCATCGAGGGGCAAAGCTGCTAAAGGACAGAGAAGAATGTAAAGAAGGGCTTGAATTAGCATGTGAGACAGTTGAAATAGCAACTGCCCCAAAGTATGAAGAAATGCAGAATTCTCTAGAGGAGGAAAAACTTGTTTCTAACGAGATTGCCTTGCCACTCAGGCTAAGTGATGATTTATACAGACAAACTGAAAATCTCAAAATATCACATAGTATCTCTCTGGAAGTTAAAGTACATGAAAATATAGATAAAGAAACAGCAAAACGTCCTGCAACTTGTTATACAGATAAATCCATTTGTTCAGCCATTGAAAATTCGGCTATAGCATTTTACACAGGACATGGTAGAAAAATTTCTGTTAGTCAGGCTTCACTATTTGAAGCAAAAAAATGGCTTAGAGAAGAAGAATTGGATGATCAATCAGAAAAAATAAATGCTGCCAAGGAAGAACATCCTCAGGATTATGTAGGCAATCCTTCATGTAGAAGTAGTTCAAACAGTATCATAACTGAAAACTGCAAAAATCATCTCTCTGAAAAAGAAGAAGAAGCTTATTTAAGTAACAGAAGCATGTCTAACAGCTGTTCATACCATTCTGATTTTTGTCACTCTAATGAGATATGTAATAAAGCAGAATATCTCTCAAAAAATAAAATCGATAATTCTGATATTGAGCCAGTAGTGAAGAATGTCAAAGACACAAAAAACACTAGTTTTTCTGAAGTAATATCCACTATAAGAGAAGCAAACTCATATCCACAAACTGTAAATGAAGATATTTGTGTTCAGAAACTTGTGCCTAACTCTTCACCAGGCAAAAATAAAAATACAGCCATTAAAGTGGCCATATCCGATTCAAATAATTTCAAGATAGGGCCACCTGCGTTCAGTACACCAAGTGGTAAAATAGTCTTTGCTTCACATGAAACGAAAGTGAGAGAGCGATTTACAGACAACTGCAGTAAGGTAATTAAGCAAAACACTGAGAGTGAATCGGGCATTTGCCAAACGAAAATTGTGGCAAGTTATCGTAAGGCATTGGATGATTCAGAGGACATTGTTTTTTCTAACTCTCCAGATAGTGAAGAACATAGTATGCATTCACATAAAGTTTTTGCTGACGTCCAAAGTGAACAAATTTTACAACATAACCAAAGTGTATCTGGATTGAAGAAAGTTTCTGAAATATCACCGTGTCAGATTAATTTGGAAACTTCTGGTATATGTAAATTTAATATGAGGAAGCTTCCCAAGTCCATCCCTTCTACGAATGCTTGTGGGATTTTTAGCACTGCAAGTGGGAAATCTGTACAAGTATCAGATGCTGCATTACAAAAGGCAAGACAGATATTTTCTAAGATAGAAGATAGTGACAATCAATTCTTTTCCAAAGTATCATTTAAAAATAAAGAACATTCAGACAAGTTCACAAGAGAAGAAAGTACTATGATATGTACCTCCCAAAATTTACTGTCATCTGCTTTCTCTGGATTTAGTACAGCAAGTGGAAAACAGGTTACAGTTTCTGAAAGTGCCTTATGCAAAGCTAAGGAAATGTTAGAGGAAACTGATACAATCAGAACTGAATGTAATCTTCAGCGTTCACCTACATCTAAACAAGATGTATCAAAAATACTTCCTCTCTCTTGTATTGCTAAGAGAACCCCAGAACACACTGTGAACTCCAAAATGGAAAAAGCCTACAGTAAAGAATTTAAATTATCAAGTAACTATAACATTGTTGAAAGTGGTTCTTCAGAAAAGAATCACTCCATTCAAGTTTCTCCATGTCTCCCTCAGTTTAAGCAAGACAAACAGTTGGTATTAGGAACCAAAGCATCACTTGTTGAGAACATTAATCTTTTGGGAAAAGAACAAGCTTTACCTAAAAATATAAAAATGGAAATTGGGAAAACTGGAACTTTCCCTAATCTTCCTGTGAAAACAAATACAGAAATTTGTTCTACTTATTCCAAACATCCAGAAAGCTGTTTTGAAACAGAAGCAGTAGAAATTGCCAAAGCTTTTATGGAAGATGGTGAGCTGACAGATTCTGAACTGCTAAGTCATACCAAATACTCTCTTTTTACATGCCAGAACAATGAGGAAATGGTTTTGTTAAATTCAAGAATTGGAAAAAGAAGAGGAGATGCACTTGTCTCAGTTGGTAAGTGTCTATTTTAACTTTTGGTCTGCCAATCACTTTTTAAATTGTTAAGTCCTTAATCCTGGTGTGCTAGTTTGTAGCAATTAGGGTATTATAAACTATTTTTTCAGACTTTTATGTGTAGTTTGGGGGAATGTGATTTCATTCTTGATATCTCTGAGTCTGTATACCAAGAAGTTAGGTTTTGTGGTTTTCTTAATGTATTTTTACAGATTATTAATATAATTATAATTGAGACATTACTGTTAAAAGTTTACATATACCAGTAAACTGTTTTCCTATGTAAATATATATATATACACATACATATATATGTAAATACATACAAACACACACATAGCAGAGGTTTAGACTCTGGCTGTTATATACTTAAAAAGTTGGTTTCCTTGGGGCCAGCCCAGTGGCATAGTGGTTAAATTCACACGCTGTGCTTCAGTGGCCCGGGGTTTCGCAGGTTTGGATCCTGGACGTGGACCTACACACTGCTTATCAAGCTATGCTGTGACCGGCATCCCACATATAAAGTAGAGGAAGATGGGCACGGATGTTAGCCCAGGGGCAATCTTCCTCAGCAAAACAAAAAAAAAAAAAAAAAAAAACCAGTTTCCAGTTATGGGTCTTGGCTTGCTTCCTTTTTTTTCATCTAGGAAGTGTTCTAAAATCACTTATCCTTAGCAAACATATTCTTGTCTTAATGCCATTTGGACTATATTCTAATTTCTCTTTTAAATACGTATCTAACAGCTTAGTTCAACTATTAGGTTAATTGGACATGTGATTTTTGTTTCTGTTAGTATCTCTGACTAGGAATACATCCTAAATAATCTATTGATTAGTTACAATTAAAGTAAATGCCAAACTAACTCTCCAGCTTTTAAGTGAATGATCTTAAATTAACTAGCTCCTTTTTAAAAAACTACAGACTCACAGAATAGCTGAGTTATCACAAGTCTTCTTGTCCTGTCCCAAGATTATGTTATGGGCAAAGTAGTAAGTTTATAATACTTGCCTTAAACTGTTGCAGTTCTCTAGTGCAAAATTCTGAAGTGGAGATGCTTAAAGATATTCATAATTCTTTTATGGAAAATAATGGCTTTATTTTTAGGAACCCATTTTGTTCATGTGTATACTGAAGTGGGTTGGCCTTCTGCTTAGGAGAAAAACCGGCTCAGACTTCTAGTAAATGTTTTTAACAGCATCACTATTGAATTTCCCTCACTTCTGTTATGTATAAATATTATAGCTTAATCAGCTTCTGGTTACTTGAATAGTGTAGGTCCTTGTTAAACAATTAAATCACTTCATGGTCTATCACTTGATAAAGCCTTGCATGGACGTTTTTACTTATTAATTCCTACAAATTCATTCCATTTAATAAAGCATCAGAAAGCTGTTATCATATATTATCTCAGTATGACATGGAAACGTATAACTTGAATTATGGTTTAATTTTACTCTCAGCCTTTGTAGAATTTTTAAATAAGAAATATTACTTTTACCAATATTTTAATGTAATTTTGGTAATTTAAAAAATATTTTCTCCTACTCAGTGACTCTAAGTCAAGGACCTATATAATAAATTTCTTCTTGAGTTTAATGCAAAAAAAAAAAAAGTTTATTTGAAGGAATTTTTCCGTATTGCTAGTAAACCTAGAGTTACATTCAGTGCCATTTTATTAAAAATTAGCTTATCTGTGGCATTTGGTAACATCTGTTTATCCCTAGACTCTATTAAATATTGGTATTTTAAATAGTCAAAAATAATTGAAATTAAACTGATATTGAAAAATGAATTTTCTCTTTCAAAATAGAATAGTCACTGTTTAAGTTATAATTATTATGTATTTTTGTGTAACATTGTAAGAGTCAGTACTTTAGTTTTAAAAAATTGACTGTAGGCTTTTGAAAAATAAAATTGATATTATTTGCTTAAAAACATGTATGGAAATTTCTTTTTAGGAGAACCTCCAATTAAAAGAAACTTATTAAATGAATTTGACAGGATAATGGAAAACCAAGAAAAATCCTTAAAGGCTTCAAAAAGCACTCCAGATGGTAAAATTTGCTTTTTATCCATATCTTTTCCCCCTCTATAGGTACTATACATAATATTCTTGAAGTTATTTTTCTCATTTCTTTTGGGTATATAGATAATTGGACAAGACTTTACAGTGTGGTTTGTTAAACTTATATCTTGCCTTGTTTGTTATGTGAGCTTTTTCTTCATAATACCAGTATGATGCAGAGGTTCTCCATAATTGGGAAGTGTGAAATGATTGTAAAATATTGACTTTTTAATTAAAAAACTATAGGAATTTAGTAAGAACTTAGAATAATAATTTAAAGCTTAGGTTTTGGAATCCAGTCAAGCTTTTCACCCTTGCCATTCCACCAAAATCAGTCTTTCCTAACTCACGTAGTGCTCTCCGTGTTGGAAAATCCAGCAGGTATTCCTGTGTCCTCATTTGACTCCATCTTTCAGCTCCATTTGACGTAGTTAATCACTCTTCTGAGACCACCACGTTCTGTTGGTTCTTCTCTTACATGGCCACTCCTTCTCAGTCGTCTTTCCTGGTTCTTCCTTATTCTTTCCTTACTTTAAACATAGGAGTGTCCCAGGGCTCTGTCCTTAGTTCTCTTCTCTGCCTGAACTACAGGGGCTACCAAAACTTGTTCTGCAGTCTTAGCCTGTCCCGGGACTCCAGACTTATGTATTCATTTGCCGACTTGATACTTTTCTTCTTGTATTGCTAATATACATCTCAAAGTTGATATGGCCAGTGCTGAACTCCTGATTCCATCCCTTCCCCAAACCTGCCCTTTATATTGTCTTTCCTTTCTCACTGCCATTTTGCCAGCCCATTACGTCAAATCCTTTATGTCATCTTTTACTGTTTTGTTTCCTCATACTCCATACCCAACCCATCAACAAGTCCTGTAGGCTCTACCTTTAAAATATAACAAGAATCTGATCATTTCTTCTCATCTCTGCCTCTGCCACCTTCATCCAAGCCACTGTCATAACTTCTAACTGATCTCCCTGTTTTTGCCTTTGCCTCTCCTCCAGGCTATTCTCAACACAGCAACCAGAATCATCCTTCTAACACAAAGATCAGATCATATCTCTTGACTGCTTAAAACTGTCCCTGGCTTCCTATCTCATTTAGACTGAAATCTGAAGTTCTTACTATGGAATGCTTGAAAATAAATAAAACATATGTTACTATTGCTCACTATATGTTTGGTTCGTGGTTTTGGAAAGGAAAATTTCAGATAGTGAGGGATAAATGTATTAAACTATAGAGGCTTAGTTCTGAAACACATGGGATAAATCCCACAAGAAGCAGGAACACTTTGGAATTTTCTAACTCATCTCATTTAATGATAGAGATTTTAAAGTTATCTTAAACACAGAATAGTTTGTCCAGAAAACTGCATTTATTTCTGTTCTTTTCTTTCCCCTGACTTAATGGTTCTCAAACCCTAGTATGCACAGGAATTCTGAACAGAGTTGAAAACTAAAACCAATCGTGGGTACTATTCTTTATGAGAAGTATAAATAATTTCTAGGATAATTTTTACCATACTGAATTATTACTTGATAAATTGTCTTTAGAACGTGTGTAATATGTGACTTCTCTCCAGGTATTGAAAGAATGGTGTTAGATTGTATATATGTAGACAAATCTTGTCCTTCTAAAACAATTGGTTTTGACATAGTCCTAGGGAGAAGTAAATGGAAGAACGTGTGTAATTCTAACAGCACTGCTATTGCATAAAATATTATCATAACTTCTTCCTTTTTGGAATTATTTTGAGCCAGTAGATACTCAGTATTTATTTAATCATCATATCTTATTTTTATTTATTAAAATGATTTTTTTACTGTGATCGTCCTCCGCCATTTGCCAATGAATGATTCTTTTCCTTCTAATTTTTTATTATGAACATTCACACACAGAAAAGTTGAGAATAATATAATGAATAGCCATATAGCTGCCACCTGTGTTCAGCAGTTATTAATTTGCTATATTTGTTTTATCTAATTACATATAATATGTGGATATATATACTAATATGTCTGTGGGTATATATGTATCTATATATTTTTTATCCGAAACATTTTAGTGTTAGTTTCAAACGTAAGGACATTTTATAGTGGTATAGCCACAGAGCCATTATCACCAAAGAAAATTGCCTGATGTCTGTAGAGTGTAGAATCTAATCTACAGTAATCTTCTTACTTTTTTATTTTTATTTTTTATGACATTAGCACTTTAAGTTGTTAAGCACAAGCCAGTTGTTTTATAGACTGTCCCACATTCAAATTTGTTTGTTTCCTGTTGGTATCGTTTAACTTGTTGCTCTATTCCCTATTTGGATCAAAGACTTAATTAGGATTGGGTTGTGTATTTTTGGCAAGAGTGCCTCAAAGAAGAGCTGTATACATGTATTGCGTCATACTGGGAGCACATTATATCAAATGATTTGATCACTTGGTTAAGATGCTACTACATCACTTCATTGAAAAGTGATTAGCAAGTGATTAGCAATTAGCAGTTATTCTGTGGGGTGATCCTTTGGTACTGTGAGAATATCCAGTTTACCAAACAATCTTTCACTCACAATTTTAACATCCATTGATAATATTTACCTGAATCAATTATTTAATTGGAGGTTGAAAAATAGTGATTTTCAAATTCTGTTGTTCTTTATACATTTATTAGCTGAGATTCTTCAGGAAGGAAGAGCTTTCCTTTAACAACTGAGGATTAACTATAATTTTTCCTAAAAAGTTAGGGTAAATCCTTAGTTCTTTCCTTTTAATTACCAATTTTTCAGAGTGAGAAGTAGGTGGTGTAATAATCACTGCTAATGGTAGCAAATGAATTTTTTTCTTTCTCTGATGAGTAAAACTGACTTCTTAGATTCTATTTATAATGTGTGTATAAAGTTTAAAAGTAAAATACATTATAAATAATGTGTTTATTTACAAAAAGAAAACATTCTTTTTGATTGATTTCAAATCATCCCAAATTTGAAAGTAGAAACCTCTTCAAAATATTTCCCAAGGTTTTTTTTTTTTTTTTAACATGCCTTGATTAACCTTTGAGCACTTTCTTGCTTTTTATTATCACAAAAAGATTTCCTAAGATGTCTTTGTAATTCCCTGCCCCAGTCCTAGAATCACCATTTCTCCAAAGATCCTTTCAGTGGTAAATCGTTTTTAAAAAACAGGATTTGGGTGCTAGCTATACTCACTGATGCTGGTGTTATTGTTTTTTTAATGCTGAAATTCTTGGTTCCTAATAACAGTAACATATTTACTTATTTGAGTGGTGATTCTCAAACTTTTTGGTCTCAAGACTTCTTTATACTTTTAAAAATTATTGATGATCCCAAAGAGCATTTGTTTGTGTGGATTACATTTATTTGTATTTACCATATTTGAAATTAAAACTGATAAATTTTAATATTTCTTAACATTGTGCATTGGTCATTTTGAAAATATTCACTGAGTTATGCAACTCTTCCAAGCGTTGACACATTTTATTATACAGTATTAAACAATCACTTTTGTTAATTTCACCACTGATTTAATCTGAAAAGTTTATGTATGGGAAGTTTCAGATACAAGCCTTACAAAATTCTAATTTTTGTTTAAAGCCTTGAATTTTACCACTGGCAACAAATACCGTCACTTGTTTTCCTTGTATTGACAAGCTCATTTCATTCATTTTTGAGAAAATATCTGCCAAATACCCAAGTCTGAGTAACTGTAATCTGTTGGTTATTGTTTCAGGTAAAAATGGAATTTTGTGAAATTTCATTGCACTAAAGTATACAGCAAGATACACTAGCAGTGCAAATGTCAACACAGTGAAAAAGACATATATAACATATTATGATGATGATGATAGTTTTGACAACTTGGATCCCCTAAAAGGGTCATGGGTACCCCACCCGCAGGGCTCCATGGATCACCTTTTAAGAATCACTGTTTATAGTGTATACATAATAGTTTCAAATTTACAATACCACTGTTACTACTAGCGATGAAAATACTAGGAGAAGTTTAAGAATCCTTTGCAGTTTTCATCCCAAGAATATATTTAATTAAGAATGTATAGTCAAAGTGTTGTGTTCAAATGTCACTCAAAATAATTCTTTCGTGTGTGGTTACCAATTTGATAATTAGGTTAGATTCATCTGTTTTCAGTTGTAGGAGTTACTTTTCCGTTTTAATTTTATATTTGAATAAGTAAAACATTTACATAGTTCATTTGTCAAAACTATAGGAAGGTTTACCTGGAGAAGTCTTGTTTGCATGCCTGTCCCCTCCATACTGTTCACCACCTTCCCACTCACTTCTTGCTCATTATGTAGGTAACCACATTTAATGGTTTTTGGTTTATCCTTTTAGAGTTTCTTTTTGTAAAAATAAGTAAATATGTGTATATATATTCTCATTACCCTTCTTTCTTACTCAAAACGTATCATTATATACACTGTTTTGTACCTTCTTTATTTGTTGTTATTGTTTACTTTAGAATTTATCTGGAGATCACTTCTTAATGAGTAGAGAGAGATCTTCCTCGTTCTTTTTTATGGTTGCATAGTACTTGACCATGTGGCTATATCAACGTATTCTGGTTTATTCAACCAATACCAGACTAATGGACTAGTTGAAGGTTTAAGAAGTACAAGTTACATACTGAGAATGAATAATATCTAAAGTTTAGCTTTTAACCTTCATAAGACTGAATTTTAAATTTGATATTTGCAGTGGCAACTAACACCTTCGAGTTATGATTAACATCAGTTGACTAAATTTATACTGATTTCTTTTGTATGTTTGCACTGTGAGTTATTTGGTATATAGTTACTATCGATTTATAAATCAAGTATTTCTTTTGAAAGTTATTTACTGAGCTTCCATTATATGCATTGAAAATTTTAAAGTCTATAATTGTCTCAAATTTTTTTGTGTAAATATTTACAATAATATGTAAGAGACCTAGGAAATAAAATCTCCCATTAGATTTTCATTAATACATAATGTACAATACATTTTTATTAATGCATAATGTAAAATAATATTTTTCTAGGCACAATAAAAGATAGAAGGTTGTTTATGCATCACATTTCTTTGGAGCCAATAACCTGTGGACCCTTTTGGTAAGACATGTTTAAATTTTTTAAAATTATACTAATATAGTGTAGCAAAAGCATGGGTTTTTAAAAATAAATATTTCTAAAAATAATGGCACTAATATGCAGTAAAGGAGTTAACGCTTCCGTTTTCAAAAGCCTGCATCAGGATTAAATAATTCTGTACTTTGGTAGTACTTTATAGAGCTGTTCATTTTGTCTTCTTTTTCAGTTTCATAACAACTTTGTAAAGTAGACAGATTTCATTCCCGTTTTATGGATGAGGTACTGAAGTTGAGAAAGATTAAGGAAATTATTCAAAATCAGTTAACAAAAAGATTGTATATATTGCAAATATTCTTTTCTCTCTCCTCCCTCTCAAAACCTTCCTGAAATTACTAAGGGAATTTTTTTAATGTATAAATCCACAAGGACAATGATCAGAAGAAATAACAAAATTTTGGAAGCCAAAAAGCTTGAAAATGACTTAGAAAGCTAAAAACCTGAGCAAGCAGAGAAGACTATTCAGTTTCCCCTAAAGAACCTGAGAAAAACTCAAATTAGCAGCAACATGTACTTCTGAAGGTGAGCCCCTGTGGCTTAGTGGTTAAGTTCAGCACCCTCTGCTTCAGTGGCTCAGGTTCGGTTCCCAGGTGCGGACCTACACCACTCATCTGTCAGTGGCCATGCTGTGATGGCGGCTCACATACAAAAAGAGGAAGATTGGCAGTGGATGTTAGCTCAGGGCGAATCTTGCTCGGCAAAAAGAAAGAAAGTAGGAAGATTAGTTGAAAATCTGTTTAATAAACATCTGTGTCTCCTCCCCCACTGCAGGCAGGCAGTTATCCCTCTTCCCTCAAAGATCAGGAGATTATTCTCTGGAGAAGATGAATTGGAGGGATTCTGAATTGGGAATGGGGTTGGGAGAGGGGACACCAGGCACAATTGAGGGGCAGGTACTGAAAACAGATTACGTAAAAATCTGTATATCAAGTAGTGAGGCTCCCTAGCCTCCTTTCCACACTTGACCCCCAAATGCTGGCAGCTAGGCCTCTAAGCAGAAGACTGGAAGATTTTTTTTTTTTTTTGGAGAATATGACGAGCCCAATAGAAAAGACTAAAAATACTGATAGTTGTGGGTACTCAAATGAAACAGCACAGCCAGACAGTGAAGCCAACAATTGACAAGCGCCACTAGCACACAGCTTCCAGTCAGCTGTTCAGTGTTTCACTCTTAAATAAGAACAGATAATCAAGGATCACTAGTCACTGGAAGAGAGCCTCTATGAAAGATAGTATCCAAAGTACAAAACCAAAGCAAAGTAAAAGGAACTCGGAGGAAATAGACCATGCAAGGAGAAGTCTTCAAAAAAATTTACTAATATTCTCGGGAAAGAGAAGAAATTGCATCCTTAAAATAAGAACAAGTTTCTATAAAAAGAGATCTTAGAAATTAGAAATATGATGGCAGAAGTAAATTAACTCAGTGGGAGTAATAAAAAATAAGAATTATGAAAGCTCCTAGAATGTAGAACAAAAAGAAAAAGAGATAACAAAAGGAATGAAAAGATAATCAGAAAATCAGTCCTGTGGGTCTAACATCTGAAAATTTGGAGTTGAAGAAAAAAGGAACAAAGGAGAAAGGAAGAGAGAAATTTTCAAAGAAATAATTTAAGATATTTCATCAGTACTGAAGGACGTGATATTTCTTGATTATAAGGGCCCTCTGAGTGAGCACATGAATAAAAATGACCCACATTAAGGTGCATCCTTGTGAAATTTTAGAAAACTAGGGGCAAAGAGGAACCTTAAATTTTCCAGAGGGCAAAAAAAATCAGGTTTCAAACAAAGTTGCAAGAGTCGTAATGACATAAATCCTCTCATCATTAACAATGGAAGCTAGCCGATTATAAATTCTATAATATATAGTACAGAACAATGCCTTTAAAATTCTGAGAGAAAATAATTTCCAACCTAGAATCCTATCACTGACCAAAATATCAAATAAGTGTGAGGGTAGACATTTGTCAGATGCAAAATACCAAAAGGTTTTATCTCTCATGCACTTTTCTCAGGAAGCTAGAAAGTTCATAAAACAAGTTCATAAATCAAGAACGAGGAAGATACAAGATTTAATAAATTCAACATAGGAGAGAGACAAAGGGAGTCATCAGGATGATATTGAAGGGAGAGCCCAGAATGATAGCTGTGTTGCTAATCCTAAACAGGTAGCTAGACCATTTCAGAACAGAAGAATAGAGCCCTGGGAGAGTTTGCCTACAAGGTAAAATTAAAGCAGAACCTGAAGAATTTTAATGTATTAATAAACTTGTTGGTAAAGATGGCGAATTGAGCATACTTACCTACTTTCATTGCCTCCCAAAATTTTACCAAAACAGTGAGGGAACTTACAAACATACACACCCCAAAGACAGAGAATGGCACCCCAAAGACGGAGAATGGGAGAGGAGACCACAGTGACGAAATTTTTCAAGGCATACAGGAGAAAACTGATTGGAAGCTGGTAGCGAGGAGAGGAGAGAACCAACCATTTGACACTAAAGAAGCCCCAAAAGGTCAGGAATTGGTGAATCTTCAGAATTGGGTGGTGAAGAAGGAAGGAACGAAAACAAGGGTATAAGTTGAAAATATGTTTAAGCAGCTATCAGAACCCTTCCTTCACTCCGTGAATCTGGGCAAGTACCTCTTGTCCACTCTAACAAAAGATTAGAGGTTAATTCTCCAGAGAGGGTACAAGAGCAGCTTTCTCTATGGGTGAACACACTAGGTGCAGTTGAAGGCAGGAGTAATGGACTGAAAGCAAGGAGATTAAGTTAATGTATGCATACTGAGTGTTGGGTATCTTCCCCCACCAAGTCCTCTTCCCTCGCTCAGCTTCCAGAATGCTGGTAGCTGAGGCTTCACTATTGGAATTTTCAGTTAATATACAGTGTAGCTTATAATCAGCAAGTCCTGTCTGTGTACCAAGAGCTTCCAAACAGCTTTTTGATCCCTAACTCTTAAATATGACCAGACATCCAAAGATTACCAAACATCACAAAAACCAAAAATATAATAACCAAAACTCAAACTAATAAAAATAACTTAGAAGAAACACTATTCAAGGAGGAGAAAAAAATTTTTTAAACACTATAGTTCATGAACAGAATGAAAACAGATTTATATATATAGCTGCGAGTTTGAGTGTGAATAAATAATAGGTACATAGAAAATTAAGCAAATTTTAAAAAAATAATTATTAACCCAGGAGAAAGCAAAAGCTATAAAGAAAGGAAATACAATCATAATATACCACACATTAATACTATATATACTTATACTAATATAACACGTTCAGCTGTAAAAAGTGTATTTAGTCATAAAGTAAATGTTAAATATTGACAGAATCAAATACGTAACTTGTATCTGGGGAGAGGGGAGGATTGTATTGGGGAAGGTGGGGTGATGAGAGAGAGAAAGAGAGAATGTTGAGTAAAGCAGAAGTGTTGACAAAGAGCTACATCTTCAGTTTCCATAGTGGCTTTTCAGTAGAAAAGGTCAAGAAGCAGCAGTTACAGAGATGTGGGTTAGAGATAATGGATGTAAATATCATAGAAGCATCTAAAATTGTAGAAAGCAGTTGTGAAACCTTTTCTACCTGGTAAATTTTTAAGCCCAAAGATATGGTTTAAATTGTTTTAATGTTACCTTTTCTAAAATAACTACTTGTGGCATTGTTGAAAAAAGTCATTGAACTGTATTTCTGAAACATATTTTTCAGCAGGCTAATAATATACAGGCACACCTTGGAGATATTGCAGGTTCAGTTCCAGACCACTGCAATAAAGTGAATATCGCAATAAAGCGAGTCACACAAATTTTTTGGTTTCCCAGTGCATATAAAAGTTATGTTTACACTATACTGTAGTCTGTTAAGTGTGCAATAGCATCATGTTTAAAAAAAAAACAATGTACATAACTTAATTAAAAAATACCTTATTGCCAAAAAAATGCTAACCATCATCTGAGCCTTCAGCGAGTCATAATCTTTTTGCTGATGGAGGGTCCTATCTCGATGTTGATGGCTGCAGACTGATCAGTGTGATGGTTGCTGAAGGTTGGGGTGGCTGTGGCAATTTTTTAAAATAAGACAACTGTGAAGTTTGCCGCATCGATTGACTCTACCTTTTATGAATGATTTCTCTGTAGCATGAGATGCTGTTTGAATGCATTTTACCCACAGTGGAACTTCTTTCAAAATTGGAGTCAGTCTTCTCAAACCGTCTCTTCCTTTTTTTTTTTTAATTCGATTTATTTATTTTTTTTCCCCCGAAGCCCCAGTAGATAGTTGTACATCATAGTTTCACATCCTTCTAGTTGCTGTACGTGGGACGCGGCCTCAGCATGGCTGGAGAAGCAGTGCATCGGTGCGCGCCCGGGATCCGAACTCGGGCTGCCAGCCGCAGAGCGCGTGCACTTAACCGCTAAGCCATGGGGCCGGCCCCCTGTCTCTTCTTTATCAACTGAGTTTATGTGATATTCTAAATCCTTTGTTGTAATTCCAGCATTCTTTGTAGCATCTTCACCAGGAGTTCAGCTCCTCCAGACGGCTTCTCTTCCTGCCCTTCCTCCCTAGTGATCTCATCCACTCTCATGACTTTATATACTGTCTATTTGCTGATGGCTCCAAGATTAATATCTTTAGCCCACATTTCTTTCCTGAACAACATATTCATTCATCCACCTACCTACTTGACATTTTTATTTGGGTGACTGTAATAAACGTCTTAAACTTAACGTCTCCAAAACTCATGTTCCTTACCCTAATCTGTTTTCCTATAAAAGTAAAAGTCCAACAACTCTGCTTTCTAAATATACCCCAAATCCAATCACTTCTCACCACTTCTGCCTCTAACGCCTGGATCAAGTCACCATAAAACTGCCTGGATTATTTCCACAGAACTGGTCTCCCTGCTTCTGACTTGGCCTCCTTCTTCCCCCATATAGATTTCTCTGGTAAAGGAGGTAAGTAAGGAGTACTGTGACAGAACTGGAGGAGACAAACAGAGAATCCGTGTGTGACAGATTCTTCTATTATGTGAGGTAGGCAGTGAAGTCAAAGGCTGGGAGTCAGTGTCTGAGAAATAGTTACAGGCTTGAAAAGTGTGGTATTGTTTGGTTGGCAACCATGATGAAATGCAAAACAGTTACCACAATAGGATTGCCGTGCAGCAATTGAGAGTCTACGAAAAAAATGCATATTTCAAAACATACACGTGTACATTTCCTAGTAAATAATCAAATTTAAATATTTTCTCCTCGTAGCACAACTAAGGAACGGCAAGAAATACAGAATCCAAATTTTACTGCACCTGGTCCAGAATTTTTATCTAAATCTCATTTTTGGGAATACCTGACTTTGGAAAAATCTTCAAGCGACTTATCAGTTACAGGGCAGCCATTTTATAAGGTTCCTACTGCAAGAAATGAAAAAAGGAGACACTCGATTACTACAGGCAAACCGAGGAAAGTCTTTGTCCCACCTTTCAAAACTAAATCACATCTTCACAGAGATGAACAGTCTGTGAGCGGGAATACTCATTTGGAGGAAAACAAAGACAAACAAAAAACCGTAGATGAACATGGCTCTGGTGATAGCGAAAATAATATTAACGACAGTGAAATTCATCAGTTGAACAAAAGTAGCTCCAATCAAGCAGCAACTATAATTTTCACAAAATGTGAAGAAGAACCTTTAGGTATTACATGAACATTTGTGTGACACATTTTTGCCTTTCAGTTAGATATTTCTTAAATAATGTGTTGAGAGTTTTTCCCCTTTTATGATGATTAATAATTTCAAAGCGTTTTTTAATGCTTTAGATTTTTCTAGGTCTAAAGATTAGATTTAAATTTTTTTAAAGATTTTATTTATTTTATTTTTCCCCCCAAAGCCCCAGTGGATAGTTTTATGTCGTAGCTGCACATCCTTCTAGTTGCTGTATGTGGGACTCGGCCCCAGGATGAACGGAGAAGTGGTGCCTCGATGCGCACCCGGGATCCGAACCCGGGCCACCAGCATCGCAGCGCGCGCACTTAACCACCAAGCCACAGGGCCGGCCCAGATTTAAATTTTTTTAGATTTAAATTATTTTTCTTTCAAAGATAACTACTTGTGGACTTTATTTAAAAAAAGCTGTTAGATATACAATCTAGGACTGCTATTACAATATATTTTTTATCAGGCTACTAATTTTCTTCCAAATTTGAAATAACAATAACAGATCTATTTCTGTTCTTTACAAGTTGAAACTTTTTTCATCCCTGAAGATTTAAAGTTAGGGCAAACTGGGCCGGCCCTGTGGCTTAGCAGTTGGGTGCACGTGCTCCGCTGCTGGCGGCCCGGGTTCGGATCCCGGGCGCGTGCCGAAGCACCGCTTCTCCGGCCATGCTGGGGCGGTGTCCCACATACAGCAGCTAAGAAGGATGTGCAGTTGTGACATAAAACTATCTACTGGGGCTTTGGGGGAAAAAATAAATAAATAAAAATTTAAAAAAATAAAGTTAGGGGAAACTGACATGTGATTTTATAAAACGGGTTGTACTTTTTAAATTTTATATTCAATTTTATTTTTTGCTGTTTACTCCTTAATAGATTTCATTACAAAGCTTCAGAATGCCAGAGATATACAGGATATGCGAATTAAAAAGAAACAAAGGCAACGTATTTTTCCACAGCCAGGCAGTCTGTATCTTGCAAAAACATCCAGTATGCCTAGAATCTCTCTGAAAGTAGCAGTAGGAGGCCGAGTTCCCTCTGCCTGTTCCCATAAAGAGGTATGCTTTTGTCTACAATGCTAATAGCTTTTATAGCAAAGTGTAATTTTATTTTATCAACTGATATCTCCAAATTGTTGTGTTTAAAGAATGAACAAATTAATGCAGGATGGATGAATGAAATTATTGTACTTCCTAATCAGCCTACAGTGGTAGCCTCCTCTGCTGGCCTGCTTTATCCTACCAAAGCCATCTGTGCTTCAAAATTACTATTTCCCTTCCCTCTTCAAAACTTACTCATTTTATTACTATAAGTGCTCTCAGTTAGGTGTTGGAGGAAAGTAGTCTCATTGAATTTAAAGTATGAATAACTCATAGCTGTGAACAGTCTAAGAGCTATTTACATTTTTAAAAGAGGATTCTAATTAAGCCAGTACTATCTAGTTAGAATTTTAGGCAATGGACAGGTGAAAATAATATTGATAATATTAATAGGTAACATTGAGTATTGTCTGTGTGCTAGGCACTCTTCTAAGCACCGTACATGCATTAATTATACCTCGCTTAGTCTTCACAAGCACCCTAAAAGAAAGGCACCATTGTTTTGTCCGTCATTTTACAGATGAGAGGACTGAAGTACAGAGAGGGTTAAGTAAGCGCCCCAAAGTTACTTGACTAGTAAGTGGAAGAGCCACAATTCCAGAGCAAAGAGTCTGCCTCCAGAGTCAAGTCGGAACAAAGGAAAACATACTTGGGGGTTAGGCGTGCTGGGGTGAAAGTAAGGACCTTGAAAGTAGGTCAGGCCTGTGTAGAAATCTGACCTTCTGAGGTTAGATTCCCTAAAAAACTTATACTTTTCACTGATATTTTCCTTCTAAATATTTGAACTTAAGAAGTTTCTTAAAACATTACTTTTTTATCCCCACAATGACTTCCTATGGCAGATGTAGCAGGAGGCATGTACACAAGGGATCTGAAAAAGGGGCAACAGACTCTTGAATGTATGGGTCATTTACATTACATTAAAATTTTTAGCTTCTAATAAGTTAAATATTTTATAGTGAATATTTTAATATTTAAATGAAAAATTTGGGGTAAATTCAGTTTTGGTTTGTCATAATTATTTTTATTCTATGAAACATGCTCTTGTTTGATTTTGTTTTTCATTCATTATCAAATTTTTCTATCATTTATTTTACGCAGCTGTATATGTATGGCGTTTCTAAACATTGTGTAAAAATTAACAGCAAAAATGCAGAGTCTTTTCAATTTCACACTCAGGATTATTTTGGTAAGGAAAGTTTGTGGGCTGGAAGGGGAGTACAGTTGGCTGATGGTGGATGGCTCGTACCCTCCGATGATGGAAAGGCTGGAAAAGAAGAATTTTATAGGTATTCTATGCAAAAAGAGATTTTGTGTTAACTTTTATATCATCCCTCTCTTCCTCACAAGTCCCTGTTTTTTCTATTTCCTTATCTCTCTTGAGCTTAAAAAGTTGGCTAGAAATCAAATTTTTATACATTGAATCATTTTAAGTGCATTGTGGTTCACTGATATTCTGTTGAAACGTTTTGAAAAGGAATTTATAGTTTGTCTTGGAATTTAATGAATTGGTATTTTTTAAATTGGGACATTTTTCTTGTAGATTTATAAAGTAAAGACTGATAAGAAAAGTCAAGTTTGAGTTGGCCTTATCATAGACAAATGCACACACACACACATACATATCATATTCTCTTTCATTGTGTATTCCAATAAATATAAAATATAAGTACTAAAAGTTAAACAGAAATACTTAAGTATTAGTCATACCAAATAACTAGTCAACTCAGTGCCCTAAAACGTCAACAATTTAGAAACTATATAACCTCTTATGATTCTAATATTTTTACAAATGTAACTTAAAATTTAAAATTTTTGCTATTAGAAATGTATTATTTGTAAAAATCTCTGTACATCTTTTCAAAATTTATAGTTTGGGGAAAGTGGTAAAACATTTTTCCTTAATTTTTTTAATAATGTTTTTTGGAGTATTTTAAAACAGGAATGTTATTTACATCTTGCATTTGTCTCACATAATAAATATCTGCTAACAGTTCTAGTTGGAAAAGTATGGTAAAACAGTTGTATTATTATCTTCTTGTATTAGGTAGGCTGGATAGTGTAGAGGTGAAGAGCGATTACCCTGTAATCAGTTGGGCATGCTTCATAATGTTTGAGCATTGAAGCTCTTATTACTTGTTTTTTCCATCATTCAAAAAATATTTATTGAGCACCTATTGTATGCCAGGTACTATTCTGGGTACTAAGGATAACAAAACAAAACAAAAATCTCTGCCCTAATAAGTCATACATTCTAGTGGAGGGGTCTGAGGTGGGGAAAGAAAATTTTAAAAAAGAAATATATAAATTGTATAGTATATTAGGTGATAAATACCATGAAGATAAATAAAGCTGGAAAGGGAGTAGAGAGAATTGGGTGAGAAGAGGTGCGATTTTTTAGATAGAGTAAGTATCAGTAGTCTTCACTGAGTCAGTGACATGTGATTAGAGCCTTTTGATTACTTCTGTTTCCTTGGTACTAAGAGTGAGAATGGGAAAGGAAGAGGAGTTAGAGATTCGAGCAGCGAGGGGAAGATATCAAGAAGAGCACCAGGCCTAGGGAAGGAAGTTTTTAGGTGATTTCTTAAAACAATCTCTTTAATAAGAAAAATATCTAAAATATAATTATTTTAAATTAAAGATCCCATTTTCCATGAAATAATTGTATCGACTAATATGTTAAGTGGAATTTTTATTAATGTATTTTGATACATGTCAAGTCATTTTCTAAAATTATATTACTTATTGATTATACATTGACTCAAAAACTTCTATGATCTTGTACAGAGTAGTTTTTTGTGCAAAGGATAGTTGTGGTTATTGAATTCAATATCATCCTATGGGGTTTTTATTATATTATTCTACCTCTATTTGTTCAGGGCTCTGTGTGACACCCCAGGTGTGGATCCAAAGCTTATTTCTAGAGTTTGGGTCTATAATCACTATAGATGGATTATATGGAAACTGGCAGCTATGGAATTTGCCTTTCCTAAGGAATTTGCTAATAGATGCCTAAGCCCAGAAAGAGTGCTTCTTCAACTAAAATACAGGCAAGTTGAAAGCATTATATTCTGTAATCATATACTACGGTGTGGTTCAGACTTCTGTGCAGTCTGTGACTTCCGTGTCATAGAGGTACATGAGCCAGTTGTCAGTGACAGTTGCCCTCCTATGCTGCTGTTCAGTTGTATAGTGTGGTTCTCTTGTCATCCCACAGCCCCACTTAAGAGAAATCACACATTCATATACCTCTTTCCTCTCTCTTCCCCCACCCCCTCCTTAACGTCTTGGCATATGAGAAGAATATTAATTCTTATTGTTTAAGAATTACTAATTTGGGGGGCCGGCCCGGTGGCGCAAGCGGTTAAGTGCACGCGCTCTGCTGTAGTGGCCCGAGGTTCGCCAGTTCGGATCCCGGGCACGCACCAACGCACTGCTTGGCAAGCCATGCTGTGGCAGCGTCCCATATAAAGTGGAGGAAGATGGGCACAGATATTAGCCCAGGGCCAGTATTCCTTAGCAAAAACAGAGGAGGATTGGCAGATGTTAGCACAGGGCTGATCTCACAAAAAAAAAAAAAAAGAATTACTAATTTGGTCCACTGTTTGGGAATTGCTAATAAAGCATTTTTACATTTTTTATTTTAATATTTAATTCATATTTTAACAATATAAAACTTAATATATTGCTAGCTACCAAATTTTAAATTCTCTTCTGTCTCAGTATTTCTTCAATAAAAGTATTTAATTTTTATTCTCAATTATTCAATCACTTCTATTACAATTAAATTCTAGACTCCACAATTCCTAAAATATGCATTTTTCTTTTTCTTTTTAGATATGATATGGAAATTGATAGAAGCAGAAGATCAGCTATAAAAAAGATAATGGAAAGGGATGACACAGCTGCAAAAACACTTGTTCTGTGTGTTTCTGAAATAATTTCATTGAGCACAGATATATCTGAAACTTCTAGCAGTAAAACTAGAAGTGTGGATACAAAAAAAGCACCCATTATTGAACTTACAGATGGATGGTATGCTATTAAGGCCCAGTTAGATGCTCCCCTCTTAGCTCTCTTGAACAGTGGGAGACTTACTGTGGGTCAGAAGATCATTATTCACGGAGCAGAACTGGTGGGCTCTCCTGATGCCTGTACACCTTTTGAAGCCCCAGAATCTCTTATGTTAAAGGTAAACTAAATTAATGCACACTGTTGGTAAAAATCTCTCACTGGTTCAGATAAATTCTAGAGAGGTTTTACATTAAAATTTTAAATTTACTTATGCCTCTTAAGGATGCTACATTTCTTGAAAACATACTGAGAATCTTAGTATAAGTGGCAGATTTGTCAGACAGTTACATTTTTTGTGCTGTTTTTTAGGAAAGCCAGAGATATTTACTGAGCTAAAATAACGCAGTTGCAATTACAGAGCAGGAGTGAATTTACACCAGGTGTTCGATTTTGGTACCTATAGCCCTTGCTATCATCTTGTTCTCATGGTGTTGCTCTGCTTCCCCCCTCATGACTCCATCGGATCTCTATTCCAGCGTGATTAGAGAATTAGACTTCAGTGAGTCTTGAATATATAGTAATAAAATATATCTTTCATCTCTACGTAGATTTAAAGCTACATAACAGGACTTGGTCATGTCAAATAGTCTACAGTATTGCTATCAGAAATTACTGCCAATGTTGCACATTCAGACTCACTTATGAGGAAACCTTGTAAAGAATTTACTTCTGTTGTATTCTGGATTACTCTAATTCAGGAAAGCATTTTATAAATTAAATGATTTTAAGGTAAAGAGATACTTTGTCATTAACTCCACTTTGGGTTGCTTTTAGTTAAGCTGAAACAGGCTTTTGTTTTATCTTGCTTAGACTATCAAAGTTGCAGTGACTTTCAATTTTTTGTTTGTTGTATCAAATCAATGCATGTGCATAATTTCAAAACTCAAATAATATAAGGCTTATGGCCAAAAAATAAGAGTCACTGATGCAACCCTGCCTAACCCCCATTCATGCTCCCCAGAGGCAACCACTTCTAATCCCCTTGGCTGTTTCTTTTGCTGATACTGCTGCGTCTGCTTTTCTCCTTCAATTTAGACATTAACTATTAGCTTCCTGCTATGAAAGATGAGAATTTAGCTCTCTTACGCCAGTATTGCCACATATTTCTCTTACCCCATCTTCCCTATACTAATACAGTGTAATTTTTAGCAAAGTCTGTATTCAATGTTTAGGTTATAATGACTGTGAAAATTATTTTTTGCCACTTGGCGTATAATATACTATGATTACATTTCTTTTATTTACAACTTCCTTCTCTGTCTTGCTTTTTTTGTTTTTCTTAATTTTTTGTATCCTTATCACCAACTCATTCCCACACAGGAACTATAAAAATCATCCCAAGGGGCTGGCCTGGTGGCGTAGTGGTTAAGTTCATGCACTCCGCTTTGGCGGCCCGGGGTTTACAGGTTTGGATCCCAGGCGTGGACCTACACGCCACTCATTAAACCATACTGTGGTGGCATCCCACATACAAAAAAAAAAGAAAGGAAGATTGGCACAGATGTTAGCTCAGGGCCAGTCTTCCTCACACACACAAAAAAAACCTCAATATGTTAAAATATCTTTATCAGTTTCATTTCTTTTTCTTGGAGATTCCTTGGACCTGTCCATATTCCTCCTCCATTCTGAAGTGGTTATTTTCTATGTATGCTGCACAGCTATCATCCTGGGAATTATTTTCACCTCTTTCTGTGTTAGAAGCCCTATTTTCTAGATTCTATATCTTTCTAGATTTATTAAGGGTACACAACCCCCAGAGTCTTCTTGAGAAAGGGAACATGCAGCTTTTTGAGATCTTATTATAAGGTTGGCTGAATACAGAATTCTAGGTTGAAATAATTCCTTCAGAATTTGACCACATTTCCTCTGATATCTTCTTGCTTCTGGTATAGCCTCTGCTAAGTTCAGTGCTATTCTTATTCCCAGTCCCTCACTATGTGATCTGTTTCTAAGAAGTTTTTAAGATCGTTTGTCACCAGTATTCCGGAATTTCATAATAAAGTACTTTGGTGTTAGCCTTTTTTTAAAAAAAAATCATTGTCCTGAGTACACAGTGGCAATCAGTCCATAAGCACATGTCCTTCACTGAGTTCTAGGAAATATTCCTGAAGTAGTTCTTTAATAATTTCTTCCCTTCCATTTTTTTCTCTTCATTTTTCTTGAACTCTTGGTGTTTGGGCACTAGGCCTCTTAGATTGGTCCTCTAATTTCTCATCTTTTCTCCTGTCTTCTTTTTGGTGCTCTTTTTTCCCCCCTAGTTTCTAGTTCTTAATCTAATCTTCTAGTCCGTAAAGTAAATTTATGTCTATTGGCATAATTTTCAAGATTCAAGAGATCTTTATTATTCCCTAAATGTTTCTTTTTTTATTACACCTGATTCTTGTTTCATGTATACAATATCTTCTCATCTTTCTGCAGCTGTTGATTAATATTTTGTTTTATTTTGGTTTTTTATGCTCCCTGCGTTGTTTCCTATGAGAACCTCTTTTTTTGTTTGTTGGGTGTCTCAGGTTAGAGACTTTCGTCAACTGGTGATTGTTAGCTGCTCTTTCCTCTTCAAGAGTGGGGCTCTAATGAGCTGATTAGAAGCCAAGGTGGGGCTTGTCAACTTGTAGAGTGATAAGATGGGGATTTGACTTTTTTCATTAGGAGAGCCTCAAATATTAGTGACTATTCTGAGAGCTTAGCAGAGTAAGAAGACTAATAAGGGGGCCAGCCAGGTGGCGGGGTAGTTGAGTTCGTGCGCTCTGCTTCGGCAGCCTGGTGTTCGCAAGTTCGGATCCCGGGTGCAGACCGATGCACCACTTGTCAAGCCATGCTGTGGTGGCATCCCATATAAAGTAGAGGAAGATGGGCATGGATGTTAGGCCCAGGACCAATCTTCTTCAGCAAAAAGAGGAGGATTGGCAATGGATGTCAGCTCAGGGCTGATCTCCCTCACACACATACACGCAAAAAACTAATAAGGAGACTTATTTTCAGCATAAGGATTTTCATTGCATTTTCATTTGCAATATGGCATCTCACCCCCACCCTAGCTGCCTTTGCCTAGTGTTCCAGAGTCCAGGATATGTGTGGTTCAGCCTCTCCAGAAAGTAAACTCTACTGGGTTCTTTTTGGTGTGAGGGAAGTCACCAGGCTAGTTGGGATAAGAGGAAATCTGATGTCTTACTATTTTAAACAAAATTTCAACCATTCCTCCTATTTTCAGCCATACCTCATGCTGCTGCCTTCAGAAGTACCTGTTGCTTCCAATTTCTGAGTGTTTTCCTTAAATTGTTTTGTTTCATATTCGCTCTGTACAACAAGTTTGCTGAGTACCCTTGGGCAGATTATGTAATTTCCCTTATACTTCAGTTTTGTCATCTGTAAAATGGGAATAAGTCTTAGCATTGTTGTGAAGATTAAATGTCAATATATATAAAGCACTTAATAGTGTGCCAGGCACCATAGTAAGTGCTCTATTAGTGTTTGCTGTTTTTATTAACTATAATCATTCTAGACTGCCCTGCTATTTACCACTTGTCCAAATTTTTAGCTTCCAGAATTTGGATAATATCTCATCTACTGTCCTCTTCTCTTCAGTTCTCTTTGTCCTTGTAGGATTTTTGAGGGAGCCTAGGTAAATAAGTATATTTCAATCCATCATGTTTAATTGACATCTCTTATTAATTTTCTAGTAGTAATAGTTACATAATGTTAAGAGTTTACAGCGGTATAAACAATTTTTTTGAGATACTATACTTTGAAGATATTTTCACTTTCATTCAATTTTTCTGCTTACTCACTTTCTTACTTATCTTCATGAGACTTTTAGAAGTGAATATTTTTAAAGCAGCCCTGAAAGAATGAAAAATGTTATGAAATCTGAAAGAGAATTGAATATATATTTAACTTATAAATCAATTTATTCATTAATTTGTCCAGATTTCTGCCAACAGTACTCGGCCTGCTTGCTGGTATGCCAAACTTGGATTCTGTCCCAATCCTAGACCTTTCTCTCTCCCCTTGTCATCACTTTTCAGTGATGGAGGAAATGTTGGTTGTGTTGATGTAATTATTCAAAGAGCATACCCTATACAGGTATGATATATTCTTGAAACTTACTATCTATTTCTTTCTTTTGAGGCAGTTAATTTAAATGATCTCTCCCTACCCTGTATTTTTGTTTGACACATTATTGCAGTGGATGGAGAAGACATCATCTGGGTTATACATATTTCGCAATGAAAGAGAAGAAGAAAAGGAAGCAACAAAATATGCGGAGGCCCAACAAAAGAAGCTAGAAGCCTTATTCACAAAAATTCAAGCAGAATTTGAAGAGCATGAAGGTAAAATGAGTTGTATATTACAAGTCTTTTTTTATATGAGAACAAAGTTTTAGAGGCTTCTAATTTTACTTTTGTAATTGGGTGAATTGTCTTTATTTTGAGTAATAGATTTTTTTTTATTGAGGTATAATTGACATATTAGTGTCAAGTGTACAATGTAATGATTCCATATTTATATATATTGCAAAATGATCACCACAGCAAGTCTAGTTAACTCTTATCACCATATATAGTTAGAAAAATTTTTTTTTCTTTTGATGAGAATTTTTAAGATCTCTTTTAGCAACTGTCAAATATGCGGTACAATATTATTAACTATAGTCACCATGCTGTACATTACATCCCCGTGACTTATTTATTTTTAACTAGAAGTTTGACCTTTTGACCACCTTACCCATTTTGCCCACCCCCCACCCCTTGCCTCTGACAACTACCAGTCTGTTCTCTGTATCTATGAGCTTGGTTTTTAGGTGGGTTTTTTTTTTTTTTAGATTGCATGTATAAGTGAGACCATATGGTATTTGTCTTTCTCTGTCTGACTTATTTCACTTAGCATAATGCCCTCAAGATCCATCCATGTTGTTGCAAATGGCAAGACTTCATTCTTTTTTATGGCTGAATAATATTTCATTGTGTGTGTGCGCGCGCGTGTGTGTGTGTGTGTACCACATCTTCTTTATCCATTCATTCATTGATGGACACTTAGGTTGTTTCCATATCTTGGCTATTGTAAATAATGCTGCAGTGAACATGGGGGTGCATATATCTTTTCGAATTCGTGTTTTCATTTTCTTTGGATAAATACTCAGAAGTGGAATTGCTGGATCATATGGTAGTTCTATTTAGATTTTTTTTCTAATTCTGAATTTGAATTTTTTTCTGGTTTTTTAAAAATATTATTACATAGATATACAGGGAAGTATTGAACTGACCGCAAATTATCGCATCTTTATTCAACACACTGAGCTTTTAGAAACTTGTGAATTGTCTTAGGCAATAAAACATTGCATAGCCACAGTACTTTTCAGAAATCTTAACTAAACTCCCTCTTAAGCTTCAGTACTAAAGTATTTGTAGTATCCTTTTTTGGTGCTGGAGAAAGAATAGCAACAAGGGAAAGAACTACCAAATTATTTTCCCATAAGCCATTTGTCATTGTCTTTCTTTAGTGTCCTTATCTACATCATATAACTTGCCGTTTTGTTGTAGTTGTTGGTTTTTATGTTATTGTACCTGAAGCTAGAACTTGTTTTCCCTGTGACATCAATTTTATTAATAAAACATCACAGTGTTTTTATGCTTAAAGGACATGAAATTTACTTTTTTTATCTACCTTTTTAATGAGATTTTTATATTCTCCTGCATTTCTTTATGGTTGTGTATATTGTTTAACTTCATATTCCATATAAGTCTGCAGGAAAACTGGACTCTGGTTATTTGATTTGCTTAAAATTATCACTAGGTCATGCTATTTTCATAATTAAGTGGATCATGAAATCGTTTACTTAATTTACAAATTACTCTAAGTAAACTCATTCTATGACAATTTTTAAACCATGAGTACACTAGTTTCACATTTTTTCTAGAAAACTTTTAGCAGATAAATGGTTTCTTATTTTTTAACCTCTCTTCTTTGAGTGTTTTTTGCCTGATTCACTAGTTTTCAGTGTTCTTAAATTTGTGGTTTAGCTAATTAGTGATGCTTTTTTCCTAGAAAATATAGCAAAACGATGTATACCATCACACGCACTAACAAGACAGCAAGTCCGTGCTCTGCAGGATGGTGCAGAGCTTTATGAAGCAGTGAAGAATGCACCAGACCCAAGTTACCTTGAGGTGAGAAAGTAAGAGGGCATACAATGAGTCTTAGTCTTCATCCATTACGGTGGGAAGCTGTAGTCACTCTTCTGGCCATTTCAGGAATCAGTATGTTGAAATGCTGTGTTTCTCAAAGGGGATGTGTGCCTTTCTGGGGTCCTCAGTGATGTGCCAAACGAGTGTGGTGCGTTTTCAATTCTGTACCACATAAAGGATGGGAGGATTAAGTAATTTTTTATATTAAATAAATGTTGTTTAAAATGCAGGCATAACTTGTTTATTTTTAAGATAAAACAAGTATATTCAAAACAATGTCTCAGTTTCCGTGTTCTCAGCTCTTTCTCAGATCCTACCTAGAGTTTATTTCATAATCTTCTATCTTAAGGGTACTTTGGTGGGAAAAGTTTCAGAAGCACTAAATTGTGTTAGAAATAGCATAGGTTTTAGAATCATGGCTCTACCATTTTATTAGCTAAGCAAATTGGGCATAAAATAGCTATAAAAACAGGCCAGCCTGCTGGCGTAGCAGTTAAGTTTGTGCACTCTGCTTCGGCGGCCTAGGGTTCGCAAGTTCAGATCCCGCGCGCGGACCTATGCACTGCTTATCCAGCCATGCTGTGGCAGTGTCCCATATAAAGTAGAGGAAGATGGGCACGGATGTTAGCCCATGGCCCATCTTCCTCAGCAAAAAGAGGAGGATTGGCAACAGATGTTAGCTCAGGGCTAATCTTCCTCAAAAAAAAAAAAAAAGACATAAAATATGTTGGTTTAGGATCAAATTAGGGAATGTATGTAAAAGTGTGCTGTTATAAAGTTTCATATAAATGTTAGTTACTATTATTAGAACATCATTTCATATATTAAGGTATGCTGCCTCCTAAATTTTTAGACACCCTAGTATCTTATTAATGCAGATTTTAGGATTAATTTAGGAAATTAGATAGGAAAGGGAAAGGGAAAATTTTAGGAAAACTATTGTTTGTTTATTGATTAATCTCATTTATTTGATGACTTAATAAGTCTTGTATATAGCCTTAAATAGGGGGACTACAAAATAAAAAATACTGTGTTAGGAGAGTGAGCAATGCTATTCTGAATAGAACTCCCTGATGTTCTCACGTGTGACAGCTCAGATTCTCCCTGTGAGAAGTGAGTCCAGTTTTAAAGCCTGTGAGTGTACTTGCTGCAGGTCTATAAGTTAAGGCTTTATTACACTGTCCTGAAAAACTATGTGCCTCTATTTCTTATATTACATTTGTTGACACTTGTCCTTTCTATGAATCATGAAGATAGTTTTAATTTCATCCACAAAATTTAACAAAATATTTGTAAGTCTAGTTTCCTTTTGTAGAATTTACTTATAAGGAAGAAGTAAGGGGGCAGAATGAGAGTTGGAGGACTAGGTCTAGACCTGGCCCCGCCACTGTGTAGCTGGACAAGTGATTTGTCTCTTAGGCCTCATTCCCACCTTCTATCAAGGGAAAGCCCCGAGAGTGGCTTATCTCTAAGGTTCTAAGTTTATATGATTCGCTGGAATTTCACTTAGATCAAGTTATCATTGTAATTCTTGGAAAGAAAAGTAACCATCAGTTTCTAAAATACTCTGTCAAAAGGATCTGTTTTCAGTGACAATGTTGAGTGTTGTGGACTCCTGAAATCACAGATCTTTTTTTAAATTCATATTTAAACTGAACACTGTCTACATATTTAGAAAGACCTTTGCCGGGTACAGACAGATCATAGTCTCCCTTCCCAATATACATTAGGTATTAAGATGCATAAGGCAGCAACAGTCTTGTAGGTTATGTGTTGGGATTCCATTTCCTATTTAATTTTACTTTTTGTCTATTTATTTGTTTTATTACACTGGGTGAGATTCCCAAGGCATACAGAGAGCAGTTTGCAGAAATGATTGGGAGAGAAGTGTGGTGGCAGAGATCCATGCTTGTAGCATGTCTGTTTTAAATTGTATCTGCTGTTCCAGGGAGTTGATAAAATTATACTACAAGGGGTAAGGATAAGGGTTCTTGAGCCAACCCCCACCTATATGCCTCTGCAAGTTACGTGTTCTCTCTGTACCTCAATTTCATCATCTATCACTTGGAAACAATAACAGTACCTACCTCATAGGGTTATTGTAAGGATTAAATGAATTGGTACATTAACCACACATAGATCCATTTCTCAAATATGGTGAGCATTCAAATGTTAGCCACTTATAATGCTGATATTAATTATTATGATTATTAGAGTATTTTTATAATAGGAGGTTGTTTTGGCTCTAGGGAAATTTGTCACAGCGATTATAGTAAAGAGTTTAAGGCACCTAAAAATATTTGTTATATGATAAGGTATATTGTCACACCCTTAAAATGAACTCAATTCTGGTATATTTTATCCTTATTTAAAGGTATTCATTTATAATAGATGAGATGTTTCGTTTTTTATTCCAATGTCATCTGCCTTAATATATTAAATGATCACAGGGTTGTTTTAGTGAAGAGCAATTAAGAGCCTTGAATAATCACAGGCAGATGTTGAATGATAAGAAGCAGGCACAGATCCAGTTGGAATTTAGGAAGGCTATCGAATCTGCTGAGCAAGGGGAACAGATTTTATCAAGAGATGTTACAACTGTGTGGAAGTTGCGTATCATAAGCTGTGAGAAAAAAGAAAAAGATTCAGGTCAGTATGTAAATTTTTTTATTTTATCAGTTTTGTTAAGTTAAAAAAAGCATTATTTTATTAATAAAATTATTTCAAATGCTAGATAAAATATAAAGTTAGTTTATATCAGAGGAGCAAAAATGAGCTACCAGTGCCCGCAGAGCGAGATAATATAATCCTTAGATCTTTATCAGTGTTTATTTTTGAACAAGAATTTTAATGATTATCGGTTCTTCCATTGTGTCTTTTTCCTCTTTCTCTAAGTAGTTTTATTGAGTATCTGGCGTCCATCATCAGATTTATATTCCCTGTTAACAGAGGGAAAGAGATACAGAATCTATCATCTTGCAACATCAAAATCTAAAAGTAAATCTGAAAAAGCTAACATACAGTTAACAGCAACGAAAAAAACTCAGTATCAGCAACTACCGGTACAAAGTTTTTGTTATAATTTTTCAATTTTGATAAATGTGTATTAATTACAGAAACTACATATACTGATTTTTGTTTTCTTGTAGGCTTCAGATGAAATCCTATTCCAAGTTTATCAGCCAAGGGAGCCCCTTCACTTCAACAAATTATTGAATCCAGACTTCCAGCCACCTTGTTCTGAGGTGGACCTAATAGGATTTGTAGTTTCTGTTGTGAAAAAATTAGGTAATGCACAGTGGTTTTAATTGAAGCTTTTCATTGATGCTTTTGAAAAACACTATCTTTTAAAATTTGTCTTCCTTTTGATTAATTGGAGCTACAAATTAGCAAATTTGGTAACTGGTGATTTGAAAGTAGGCCTGTTTCAACCTCAATTCTTAATGAAAAGCAATTCTACATTGTTACAAGGAAACAATTTACATCCTATTCTGTGCTACTTAATTTTAAAGAAATCACTAGAAAATGTTTTGCGGCATTTTAGTGATTACTGAACAAATAATTATAATCTCCTTCTGCAGTTAACTGAGCGTTCAAGCCTCCACCCCCAGCGCCAGTTTTTACTGCTGCCCAACATCTTAACCAAATTCATCCATATTTGATTCCTTAAATATGACATTGCACATTCCTCTTTCCTTACTTCTTTCCATATATTTTATCTACAAAGCTGTACTCTCTTGTCTAAGTGCTATGCAAGTATCAAGGCCCAGCTTAGGTCCAGTTTAAGCACAAAGCCTTCCAATTGTTGATGGTTTTGTGCTGGCGCCTCTATCTCCTAGCACTCTGTCCCCTGTTCCACTTCCACTACGTTGACACCTTACATGCTATTCTTGAGCCCACTGAGCTCAGTTTCATCGGAGCCTTTACACTCACGGCTCCCTCTCCCAGAAATGCTTTTCCCTGGACAGCCATGTACTGGCCCCTTTGGCTCCCTCAAGTCCCTGGTCAAATGCAACCTTGTACGAGGCCTTTCCCTGAGCACCCTTTGTAGAAGAGCAGTACTCCATCTTGTCCCCAGCCTAGCACTTTTTTTCCGCTTTACTCTGCTTTATACTTCTCCATAGCACTCACCAGCACCTGACAATATATGTTTGTTTTTTTATCTCCCTTCTGCAGAATATTAGCTCTGTAAGGGCAGAGACAGTGTTACGGTTGTATCCTCGGCTCTTAAAACAGTGCCTGCTACAGTGTAGGCTCTCAAATATTTGATGGATTCTTTGTTTATCAACTGCCTTATTGTGGTTTCTCCCTTTCTCGGTTTTTGGCTGAGGTTTATTGTCAGTCATTTTTCAAGAAGGCTCCAGGTGTGCCATATTCCATGAGTTCCTCATATGTTTGAAATGTGTACCTGTTGCCTTAATTCTGAGACTATATCTTGGCTACATATAATATTATAGGATCGTGCTTTCTTTCCTTCCCTCAGAACTTTGTAGAAATTGTTCTTTTGGCATTGAACAGCCTGGACTGGCCTAATTTTTCCCCCATTTAGGTGACTTTCTTTTTATGTCTGAAGAATGTTTATGCATCATAGTCCAAAGCTTAAATTGAGCTGTGTCTTAGTATAAGCATTCTGTATACAGTTCTCCTGGGACACAGGATGGTCTTTTAATCTGCAGATTCAGTGCTTTCTTTATTTCAAGGAAATTCTGTAATATCTTTGAATATGTCTGCTGTTCCATTTATTGGGATTTCTACTTCAGGTATCTACTTCAACGATACTTTAATCTCATGTTGGATTATTTTTATTTTTGTTTTTATCTCTTTTATTGCTTCTATTTCTTTGTCTTTTCCATCTTCATTCACCATGATTATATCCAGCCTTTATGTCAGTAATTTTATTTTTTGCAATATGTTTTATTCCTTGCTATTTCTAATGCATATATCTGTCCCATTATGATCATATATTGGTGTCCTCAATTTATTTCTTCGGTCCTATAGTCTCCTTTTCATCTTACAGGGCTATTTCTCATCCCATATTCAAGCTTTTATTTTATTGAATATGTGTTCTTATTAAGTTGAATAGCATGAGTCAGTTTTGAAGACTTTAGAAATTTTCTCTATTCTTTTAGTTTTGTTTTCTTATAGGTTGTGCTCTTTGTCTTTTGCTGTGCTCTTTTCTCCTTTTTTTAATGTGGTTGGTTGGTTGTGTGTTTTAGTGCTTTGTGGTTTTCTTTGTAGTATGTTAATATGCTACATTATTTCCATAGCATTTCATTCCATCTTGGTCATACTTGAGTAACTCTCTCCACACATTATATTGTTGTTATGGGGGTGGGGGGTTAACTTTTATTCATTTATTCAATCACTATTTATGATTGCCTATTATGTGCCATACACTGTTGTAGTGCTTGGTGCATAGCAATGAACAAGACAGAAACCCCTGCCCTCCTGGGGCTTACATTATGGTGGGGGAGAGGTCACAAACAAAATAAATAAGTGGCATATATAGTTTTCTTAATAAGTTTTAGGAAGAAAATTAAGTAGGGAATGACAGGTAGTATCGGGGGAAGGGAAGAGAATGTAGCTCTAGACAGGGAGGTGAGGAAAGACCTCACTGAGAAGTTGACATTTGGGTGAGACTTGAAGAAATAGAGGGAGGGAGGCATGTGGACATCTGGAGGAGGAACATTCCAGGCAGAAGGAATGGCGATTACAAAGGTCCTGACACAGCAGGATCCTGCCTGGTGCCTTTTAGCATTGGCAGAGGCCAGAGAGTGAGTATAACAGCTGGGAATAGAGGCATTGAAGGCCAGATCATGTGATGGTCCTTGTATGGACTTTTAACTTTTTTTCCCCCAAGAGTGGTGGGAAATCATAGGAAGGGTTCAAGTAGAGGAGTAACACCATCCTAATAGGTTTTCATGGGATCACCCAGGCTGCTATATTGAAAATAGACTGTAGGGGGCATGAGGGTACAAACAGGGAAACCAATTGGAGGCTATTGAAAGAATTTAGGCAAGAGATGATGATAATAGTTTGGACTGACAAAAGCAATGAGAGTGGCCAGAAGTAGATTCTGGTTGTATTTTGAAGGTAGAGGGACATTGTGGGGTGAGGAGAGCAGTCACGGAGTCAGTGCCAAGGTTTTTGGTCTGAACACCTGGGAAAACAGAATTGCCATTTACTAAGAGAGAAAGACTGCAAAAAACCCAGGTATGTGGGGCAAGTCAGGAGCTCAGTTTGGACAGTTAAGTTGTAGGCATTGAATCTAAGTAGAAATTTCTACATGACAGTTTGACATATAGGAGTCAGTTCAGAGGAATGGTCTGGGCTAGAGATATATATTGGGAAGTCATCAACATATAAATGATGTTTAAAGCTATAGACTGGATGAGGTCACTGTGGGTGTGGGAGTAGATAGAGAAGAGAGCCAAGGGCTGACTCAGGCACTCTGATGCTTAGAAGCAGGGGAGATGTAAAGGAGCCAGTAAAAGGACGAGGAGGAGTGGCCAGAGAGGTGGGAGGAATACTTAAGAAAGTGAGCTATGCTGAAAGCCAAGAAAAAAAAGGATTTCAGAGAGGTGAGAGTGATTCAGTCTATCGGATGGTATTGGATAGCATAGATAGTGAGGTGAGGACGGAGAATTGATTACTGGCTTTAGCACCATGGAGGAGCCTTTTTGGTGAAGTGGTGGGAGTAAAAGACTGATTGAAATGGAGCAAGGAAAATGGAAGGAGAGGAATATAGACAGTGAGTACAGTCATTTGAAGGATATTATGCTTTTAAGCAAAGAAGAGAAATGGAGCAATAGCTGGAAGGCGAATTGGGATCAAGAGAATATTTGTTTGTTCAGACAAAAGTGCTGTTAGCACACTGATGAGATATTGTGTACTGATGAGGAAGGTCCAATAAAGGGGGTAAACATCAACAATGGAAGGAAAAGAGGGGACACTTGTGGAGCACTGTTCAGTCAGCATGTAGAGATGGTATCTAGTGGGTATGTGGTGAGATTGGCCTTAGCTGGTAGCAAAGACAGCTACCATAGTGAAAGAGGAGAAAAATATATAGGTACGGATACAAGCGGAAGAGTTGATGTGTGAGTGGAAACTTGTGCCAGATCTCTTCTGATTGTTTCTGTTTTCTCACTGAAATAGGGAGCAAAATCAGCAACTGAGAGTCAGAATGGAGGAAAAAGGTATTGCAGGTCTGAGAAGAAAGTCATGAAATAATCATCCCAGAAAGTGGCAGAGTGAATGGACTAGGTAAAGAACTGTGACTGCCAGGGCCCACTGGAGGTTAATGCTCATGAATATAAAATGAAACTAGTCATCATAGTTGTGTGATATTTTTCCAACAATGTTAGGCTGTAATGGTGCAGGCATGAAGTAGGTGGATAGTGGGATTTAACCAGGCTTGTAGTTTAGCCAGGTGACTAATACAAAGCAAGAAGGACGAAGAGTTTGAGGGTGTATGCAAAGAAGGGATTTTGATCATTGACCTTGGACTTGAAGCACAGTACAGAGGAAAGAGGGGACATTAGGGGAATGTGGAACAGTAAAGAGGAGATAAGAAAAATGGATTGTAGCCCCCGGGGGGTTGAAGGATTGGTTGAACTAGGGTTCTAGAGGGAGTGAGCTGGAAAAATGAAAGGTCATGGTTGAAGAGTGAGATAATTGAAATTGAGGTTCTGGAGGGGCTGAAGTTATTGGAAGTAACAAAGTCTTGAGTGAGTTCACTGGAGCGAGCACCTGACAGAAACTAAAGAACAAGATTGCTCAAAGAAAAGAAAACAAGGAACCTGGGAGCCCAGGGTATTAGAAGGATTATCTGTGAGGGTATTGAAATCACCAAGAAATAAAGCGGTAGTGGTGACAAGAATGACAGTGAGTTATGAGAAACTTTTACAGGAATGAAAGGGAGTGAGTGACCCAGGGGCAATAAATGCCTAAGCAAGGAGAAGTAGTGAATGATATGGTCTGATAACAGGAGATTCAAAGCTGACTGTTTTTAGGGAGAGAGAGCAGCAGCAAGGAGCAAGATACCCACCCCACCTTGACCTCCAGTAGCACAGGAAGTCTGCAAGGGCAGCTGTGTCATCAGAGGAGAGCCAGGTTTCAGTTAACAGCAAGATGGTAAGGAGAGCAGTTACAGAAAAGGTGGAGGGTAGTGGAGATTTTCCTGAGTTCCAGAGGGTCCAGTGAAAGGATTCTAGGAGACAGGGAGAGGTGGGAGATGGTGTCAGAAAGGCAATGTACAAAGCTTTCTGGAGACTGAGGCTGGGGAATAC